GAGTAAGGGGTGGGGTGATGGCAGAAACAGACTGACTGAGGGTTTGCCGTTGAACGTTGATAGCTGAAATGAGTAAGCCAGGACAGCTGAAGCGCTGAAGATGCTCACCCTATAGTCGACTTGGGTGCATCCTGTTGAACCTTTCTCACACACATGAAGATATGCAGCCAGGTCCAAACCCTTGTCGACCCCGATCGATCCATCCATCCATCTCATGGTTCATCGTCTGGCTACGCCGTCCGTCTCGTTTCTCCTCATTGGCTCACATAAAAGTGACTGCACAACATTGTGGTCAGACACCAGCAGGCAGGGAGGGAGCTCAATGAATTCATCGAGGACTAACCTAAACGTACGAAAAACTACTCCCCTCCCGCACCCCGCTTGTCTGGCTACGGCTTGACATTGCGGTTGTGGTGGAAGAAGTTGTGAGGGTCCCATTGGCGCTTGACCTCCTGGAGGCGCTGCAGGTTGGCGCCGTAGATGCTGTCCATTTTGTCCTCCTCGATCCCGCCAAGCACGCTGATGTACCTGCCAGTGCTGTACTCGGCAAACGCACCGTGCGCCTGCGGACAGACAGACAGACAGACAGACCGACAGAAGAGACAGTGCGCGTGTGGAGGCAGGCAGGGCGGTTCGTGTGGCTGTGCCGTGCTATTCTGGTCACCTTTCTTGACCAGTCCATTGCCTTTTGCCGGTTGTCAGCGCCCTCAGGGAAGAATCCCAAGATGAGCAGCCAGAAGCGCGACTTGCGGTTGAAGAAGGCCGTCGCCTCGTCAGACACTCCATTCGCCTACACAAACACACATTGGCGACACGACACACCAATAGACACACACACGTCACCGTCGATGACCCAGACCCCCCGATGCGTTCGTTGATGCATGTCTGTGCCCACCGCCTTGCCGAACGGCGCCAGAGCCATTACGCAGCCAGGGAAGGGCCTCTCAGCCAATGCTGCACCAAACGCACCACAACACAAAAGGAAGCCAGCAGAACTGTCCCTCCTGTCTGTCGGTTGCTGCTGCCTTGGTGCATATCTTCGACTGTCCTCTGCCTCTGCTGCCGTGTGGGCTCACCCACCATCGACGACCTCGTCCGCCACCTGCGTGGTGAAGTCTCGGATGAGCCACCCCTTCTCGTATATGTGGCTGGGCGGCTGCATCGGCTCCATCATGGCCTGCAGCTCCCGGTAAGGCCTCGGACCAACCTGCATACGGCAACCAGCAAAACCCATTGATTCACGGCTCGTTCACAGCACCACCTAGCCACGCGCGTGTGTGTTTGTATGTGCCCACCTGCTCCATCAAGGGTGGCGGCAGGGCGACGCGCGCTTTGGCGCTCTCCCAGTCCTGCTGGCCCTTCTCTGGATCGAGGGCACACGGCTGGCAGATGGCTATCGGCTGCTGCCCGTCGGGGTTAGCAAAGGCCACTGTCAGCGCCAGGTCGGTGAACTCGTCGTAGACCACGCGAACAAGTTCGGTTATCATTGAGCTGGTCTCGTAACTGAGCGGCCACTGCATCCACAAACACAGAAAGACACACGCACATCCATTGGGGGGTGCAGCATTTCTCCCAGCTATGTGTCTGTCTGTGTATACTGACCTGGGCCACGCCGGCGAAGACGGTTGTGACTGGCCGAAGGGCAAAGTCAAAGCGCGTCACGATGCCATAGTTCCTGCAAACACATACACTCGTCCCAGAGGGGTGCCGGCGGGTGGTCTTGCTTCGCAGACATGCAGCTCACGGACCATCCGGAGCCGCGCAACGCCCACATCAGTTCGGGGTGCAGGTCGTCACTCACCTCCACGATCTCACCCTCAGCTGATACAGCAACCGACACACAAGTGGATGGATACACACATAGAGACTATGCTGTGGTCAGTGAGGCGTATCGCACCCGTGACGAGTTGTGCTGACGGGAATGAGTCGACCGTGAGGCCCCAGAAGGGGCTGAGGTACCCGACTCCGCCGCCAAGCGTCAAGCCCGCAACGCCCGTCGTCGAGTTGTGCCCCGCCACGACGTGCAGCCCATGGATGGCACACTCGCTGTCCAGATGCTTGAGGCGAGCCCCGCCCTGCACGTGGGCAATGCGTTTGTCCGTGTCGACGTGCACGCCGTGCAGGCCCTCCAGGTCGATGGCCACCGTATCATCCTTGAAGCAGTAGGGGCTGTGACGCCCGCCCGCCACTGTGGGCTCCAGGGAGTGCTTCCTGCAAAACTTGACAGCCAGCTGATAGACCATAAGACCAGACAACACACAATCAGAGCCTGTGATCATGGGAGCCGCTTTGCGGCCACCTGTACGTCGCTGACGCTCTCACATCTGATGATGTGGGAAGGCCTCTTCAGCAGGTCCAAGTTCCACTGCAGCCGGGCCTGCAGACAGACAGGCAGGCAGACAGACAGACAATCCCTTTCTTGTGCTGTGCGTGTCTGCGGGGGCCTGCTGGTGGCGCTTGCATTGTGTGTTTGCCACCCACCTCGTCGTACGCCTTGTCTTTCTCTGTCAGCACACGACCGCAAAGCTGCCGGCTCAGTTTCTCCCACTCCTCTTGGAGGACGTCAGATGCAGACGCATAGGCCTTCGTTTCTGGTGCCATCCGACGCTTTGCTGAGGGAGATCTTGCCGTTTTTTTCGCGTTAGAGCTGGGGTCGGAATGTTTCGTCTTGCCCTTTCCCTGTCTTCTTCGAATGTATGTGTGCAGTTTGTCGAATGTCGATCGAATGCGCAAAGCCTTGGTGCGTTCGTTTTATGTTTCATTTGATTTGACTCGTGAATGAATGCTGGTGTGTCGCTCAGGTGAACCAATCGTTGACTTCGAAGATTCAGTGCTCTCATCCCGATGCATGTCTCGTGTGTCCCGTCGTGTGTCGCGCCATACAATGTGCATCACCACGTCACACGCACTCACGCACAATGAATTCCAATCACGAATTTGTCCCTGCCGACCTGCCAGCTCTCCGCTTTGGAGAATCTCTGACTACTCGACAGCACACACACACACACACACACACACATACACATACACACACAGAACAACGCTCACGCACTCATCTGTCTGTCTGTTTAGGCAGGTTTGGCTCTCTTGAGCTATCGTACGACTCCCTGGTTTGGTCGCCGAGAGCACAGAGACACATCATGCACTAGGAGTGACAAATACACGACCGAGTGAGTCATACGATGATGATAATGTGGACGGTCACTCACAAATAACTGAGGAGTACTAAGGCTAGTGGATGGGTCAGCAAGGGAACGCAGCCACGGGTTCACACCCATGGGTGTGACCTTCCTCTCGTGAACAACAAGACAAATAACGCTACAACGATGTAGCTAGCCAGGAAGTCGATTCGGGTGCACACATTCATGAATCATGCACAATACAGCCAACCGATCACGCCCAACAGCGCAGCACTCAACCAGATAAGCATGCATATGTCGATTAGCGGAGGGAGCGTTCCCCCATCTTGGTCACTTGGGCTTTGAGGGCCGCGACCTCCGCCTGCAGCTGCTGGATGACCGCCATCTGGAGATAGCTCATGTAATCCGTGTCGACGTAGTGGACGTCGGTGGCTGTGGATCCCTCGCCCGCGGCCTCCATATACACGTTGACGGCATCTGAAATAGTCACAGACGGAAAGCCATCACATGTCGGCCAGAAACGTACGTGTCCGTTTGATCTCTTACCTGGAAACGCTTGCTTCAGATCTTGGGCAGAGACACCTGCGCGCACGGCACACACAGGAGGGACAGGTCTGCTCTGCTCTTGTTGTACCCATATGTCAACTTACCGATGTGCTTTTGTTCTTTCTCCTCTTCGCTATTCATCCTTGTCTTCTCTGGGTCCCACTGGAATTCCTTGAGATGCAGCTCCGCAAACTGAGGCAGAGCACCATATATGCACGTGGATGGCTGCATCACGATGTGCAGCAGCCATTATGTTCACTCACCTTGGCGTATGCATCCTTCTTGAACTCACCAGAAAGGTCCTGCAGGGAGGGAGGACAGATAGGTAGATAGATAGATAGATAAGGAGTGTCTCATGTGTGTCGTGGCCACCTTCAGACTCCTCTTATACTTCTCGTCAGACAGGCTGTGCTCTGTGCCGCGGTGGACGTGATTGGAGAAGATTCTGTAGATGTTGCCATTGTTCCCGCATCCAATGTATCCTGCAGGCCCACACATACCAAATGATGCCCACGTGCCCGGAGACGCCTGTACTCTTCTGCTTACCCCAGTTGTCCGCGACGCCGCCAGGCGCGGCAATGTTCTCAACCCAGATGAGTGGCTCGTTGTTTCCCGAGCCGCTGGGATACTCACACCCTGTCTCTTCCCACTGTCGGCCTTCTCTGCTGGTGGTGCTGAGTGGAACCGTGTTCACACGAGAGATGCACACGAGGGCAAGGGCGACGAGCACAATGGCGGCGCGCATGATCACCAGTGAGGAAGCGAGGGAGAGGATCTTTGAGGGGAAGAGCTCAGGGAGATGCACAAACCGGAATGGAGGAAGGATGATCTCCCCGTTAGCGCCAGGGAAGGGCAAAGTCTGTTAGCGAAAAGCTCGCAAGTCGGCCCTAGTTTATTCACGTGAAACCGCTGCTGCTGCAGCCCTCCTGTTTCGATGGCATCCAACAGACCAGCAGCAGCAGCATTGGAACCCCAGTCGATAACCGTGAATGTGGACCCGCCCACTTCCGCCCATTCATCCCATGACGAGGCGGCGACAGTCACTGTCCACCCTGGCGGCTTCCCGCCCCAGTCGTCCACCTCCGCCCCGCCGTCGAGGCGGCAGATTGCCGACCCCCGCGCACTCACCCAGAGCATCTCAGTCGGCGACGGGCTGCCGGGCGGCCCTTTATCGTCCACTCTCGGCAGAGACGCGAGAAGCTCACGCAGAAAGCGGCCTGCCCAGACACCTCAGAGTGCCGGCGGCCGACCGTCGACGCTGCACAGGAAGTTCTGGCTGCGATTCAACCCTCGCGGCCTGCAAAAGGCCAACATTCGGGCGCTGGTGGAGCAGCACGGCGGTGCGCATTATGTGGAGGGGGTGGCTGTGGCTTTGATGATAGTTGTCAACGGAACGTTCATCATCTTCAACACGTTCAGTGCGCTCAGCGACACGGGCAAGCTGAGGGAGAAGAGCGCGCAGCTGTTCCAGGGGTACTATGAGAGCGTCATGATCCAAGTCTGGTCAGTGAGTCAGACAGCAAGACAATCAGCCATCTGCAGCTGAGCCCGGTGTTTCTGACGAACGGCATGGATTGGATTGTGCCGTCATTGGTTGTCAGGCTGGAAGCGGCCGTGATGGGCACGCTGCTTTTGTCGCTTTTCCTCCATGTCCGAACGGGAGACGTCCTGTCTCTCAAGAAGAGCCTCATCCAGCTCTCTGGATTCTCCACGCTCGTGTAAGTCACACACCCCCACTGCCGATGCAAACACATGCAAGCACACAGGCCTTTCTCCCTCCCTCCCTCTGTCCGGCATGTCAGCTTTGTTCCGTCGATTCGCTTCATCAAGAAGTATTGGCGGTCCCTCAACGACCGCACAGCGGCGCAGCAGCAGCAGCAGCAGCTGTCGGCGTCATTTTCTCAGCATGGCACGCTCATCGCATCCGCACACAGGAGGAACCCCAATGTAGCGATGAGGCTGTCGCGTGCCGGGGGGAGGAGGGAGAAGGGAGGCGATCAGGACACCAAAAGCACCATGTGTGTGGGCGGAGGGAGACAGGAAGGAGACACATTGCCCGGATTGTGGGCAGGTGTCTCTCCCTCTGTGGCTGCGTGTGTGTGTGTGTGTTCAGGGTTTGCGAGATATTCTTTCTGCGTTTGTTGTTCTGCCTGGTGGTCCCCTGGAGCTTTGTTATCCCAATGCTCAAGCTGTTCTCTATCCAATTCGCGCTTACGAGCTCACCCGGTGGGTGAGGAAAGGACGCACGCACTCCCACGCTAACCAAGTCGCGCCACGCTTGCTGCGATCCTGTCTGCCCCCCAGCGATGTGGAGCGCCACGCGTTTTCTGAGCTATCTCGCAATCGTCAACCAAATCGCTTACCTAAGGTGAGTGGCCTTCCTAGACACACGGAGAGAGATGCCATGCCATCCATCCATCCAACAAATACAGTCTGGTCTCCCTGTCCGGCCGTCTGTCATGTGGTGGTTGTGGTCGTTAGGGATGCCACGTGGCGGGAGGGTGCATCTGAGTATTTGTTTCGCACATTCGCATGGATGCCCGACATCGAGCAGAGAGAGAAGGACGTCAGCAAATTTTCAAGCCGGTCCGTGGCGATTGACCCTCCCGTTCTCAACTCAATCACATGAATGGTCACTTCTGTGTGTCTCTGGCGAATCTGGCCGTGCAGTGTGTTGTGGGAGCTGATCGACATACTGGGTTGGTGGCGGGGCTTTCTCTTTGCTGTCAGCATCTCGCCTGAGGAGGAAGCATTCATCGCACACTACAGGGTAGCTAAACACGGCACACACAAACACACCAGTGGAGGGAGGAAAACCATCCACACGCTCTACACATACATCGTCCTCCTCTACTGTGCATGCAGGATATCTCGACCACTACTCAGTCATCTCCCGCCGCCCCCCAGAAGCCCGCACAGCAGAAGAGACGTTTGTTCCCTCCCCGGGCCAACCGGTCCGATGCAGCCCCAGCCCCACCCTCCCCCTCCCTCCCCGACACACACCGAGCCCCCTCACGCACAAGAGACAGAAAAGCCGACAGCGAGCGATCCCATAGCCTGCTCAAGAGGCTGTCCGGGAGCCGAACCCGTGATCGAGATCGAGACCGTGATCCCTTCCAAGACCTGGAGAGGGGCGAGAGGAGTGAAGGCGGGGGCTCGTCCAGGCGAGAAAGAGAGAAGAGACAACGGGAGAAGCCGGTGTTAGGGAGAAAGCGGACCGTGACGATCGCTGCGATCCCCGTCCAGACAGACGGGGGCGATTCGAGCGATGACAGGGGGGAGGAGGCGGGAGACAGGGGCGGCTCCGGGATGGGTGTGGGTGTGGGTGAGGGTGTTGGTGTGGGTGCGGGGGAAGATGGAGGAAGGGAAGGCGAGGTGGCCATAGACATTCCCGACAGTAGGAGGCGAGACTCGCGAGAACCGAGAGGGCATTAGTCGGTCGGTTGGTGGGCGGGCGACAGTGTTGTTATTTGCTCGGTCACTTCTTTTGGTTGCTCACGGGATTGGCAGTCCTCTTACCCTTAGGCAGGGCGGGGCGCGTGTAGGATCTTTGTGTGTTGGTGTTTGGCTTCGTGGCCTTAAGTGACCACATTGACCACATCACATCCATACATTCAGTGGGACACACGTGTGCAGACATACAGCAGTGCCACTCGTGGTGCCAGCCAGACCAGACCACCTTTATATCAGTGTGCGTGTGTGCATGGACCTCTCTGTGCGCCTCATCAAGGCCAAGCGAATACATGTCATGTCTCTTTCGGTTCACGATTCACGTCTTGTCTGCGCATTTTCAACATGATGAAGCTGGCATGACAGAACAACATATGACTGTCCCACACGTCATGATGCATTTACTCATCCGTGAGTGTCCATCGGGTAAGGAAGCGGAGCATTCCCGTATTTTGGCTAGAGGGCCGGGTGATCTTCACCACCACTCGTCCCTCTTCGCCCATTTCAGAAGGACACCTCGTCGGAGCAGCAGACGAAGAAGAGGACACGTCTCCCACACCACCCTCACACCGCTTTCCCCGATGTGTCAGCGAGTGGATGACGACAATCGATTGAAGATTCACCAGCCATTCCACAAAGTAGCGGACTCTCGCCCGACAGCCGTGTCTTGGTGGCCCGACGCAGGCTGGGTTGGGCAGGTTGTGGCAATGAACGAAACGGAGCGTCTCGAGACGCGGGGCGTTGGTAGTGATGTGACGGCAGAGCGTCTCACAGACTTTGCAGCTGCCGATCTGCAGGTGCCTGCATGCACCATACAGCCATTCGGGACACACACACACATCCATGAGATGGGATCAGATTGATGTTTCATTGCAGCAGGTGATTTCTTGTGTGTGACTTGAGGTTAACGAATGAAGTCAGATAGCGCATGGGGTTGAGGCTGCCTGACAAGGTCAAACGCTGCACAAAGATCAACTCATAGAGGTGAAGATCCCTGAGAATCTCTCTCCCTCTGTCCTCCTCGCTCACCGCGGGCTCTTCCATGTCCTGCAAGTGTTTGACATGATGTTTTGCATGTCGAAAGGAGATCTCCCTGCAGCTCCTCAGATGCTCCCTGCTCACCATCCACGTAACGACGCCATCTCTGCTGTTCTTCTCCTGCACGGACACACGGAGAATGGACACAGGATGCGAGATGGGGCAGTCAGCCTACAAGAAGGGCCAGAGCTGTGAAGTCGTCTGTTTCTGTGGCCAAGAATGTCGTTACACGACCCCACACGTCGCCGGAAAGAACCATTTTTGAGACGTTGACGCAGGGAGGGATGTTGGTTTACAAGAGCACGGGCGACCGACACGTTGACGCAGCCCCCAGTCTTGCCCACACCTGCGCGAGCTTGGCGCGCGGAAGGAATGAAGCGACTGAGAGAAGACGAGGTTGATGCGCTGACAGCAGATCTGCTGTCAAATTCGGATTTGCAGCCATCCCAATGGTTTCTGCTGTACCAGCATCGTCATCATCAACGACCACACGGGCCGCCAGGCTTGCGGCAGAGTCCATGACACGACCACCTGCTCTCCCCCGCCGCCCGCAGCAGCAGGGAGGGCCTACCTCTTCTCTTTCTCTTGCTGGCAATGATCTGGGGTCACTGGTCGTGCAGGCGCTCCAACTCAAGCGCGCCAAGTCCACAGACATCGGTGCGTTGCGCGGCCTCAGCGCGGCCATCTCCCAGCAGATCCGTGCAAGAAACGACCCCTTCGTCAGCCGTGAGGACATACAGACGCTCGTGAGCGCTGTGTCAGCCTTTTCAAGACCTGAGCTGGTCGATGTGGCGCGAGATGTCTATGAGGCGGCCCATCAACGGATCTTCCCATCGGGCGAGAAGGGCCTCAACGCGACGGCGCTCAACGCGACGGAGGCCATGATTGTGGTGCGGGCGTACAGCGAGCATGCCGTCAAGGGGGCGGCTGACCCGGCAACGATGAGCGGCCTGCCCGGCCCGCAGCAGCTCTTGTCCCTCTGGCATGGTGCGGTTTTGCCCTTGATGCAGTCGGCCGGCCCTCAGAGCTCGCAGCAGCTGTGTTTGGCCGCCAGCAGCTTCACCTCCCTCATGCAGTATGTCCTCTCCCCCATCCACCCCCACTCCGCCATCCGCGAGATCGCCCTCAACAGCCGGCTGCAGGAGGGCCTGACCGTCATCGGTCAGCACTGTCGGAGCTACTTTGATCAGCACCGACTACATCCTTTCGAGAAGAGGGACATCTTCAAGTGCTTCATACTGCTCAGGCGGACGCTCATGAGAGACCGTCATGAATGGGGGAGAGGAAGTAGTGGCGGTGAGGGGCAGGAGGAGGTGCCCGGTCTGGTGCGGACATTTCGGCAGAGGATGGTGCGTTTGGTGGAGAAGGAGCTGGAGATGCTGTGTGACCGGGCGGACGACCCGCGGCACATCGGTCACCTAGCCGCACTGCCCGAGTTCGGGCAGTATGTGGCCGACCTGCCCGACAAGACACTCGCACAGCAGATACAAACCAGGTGAGACTCATACACAGCGCACACGATGCATTCTCTCGTCTCACTCGTGTGTCTGTTGGTCTGTCTGGTCTTGCAGGGCGATGGAGCGCCAGCTCCGCAAGGAAGCAGCTCCCTCCCCCCCGTCAGACCCCGGCCCCACTCACACCTCCCCCTCCCTCTCGCCCCGTTTGCCTTCCCCCGACCAGCTGCTTCAGCTCACCCCGGCACAACTGACCGACATGTCCGTCAGTGCAGTCACAGGCGTGGCTCTCGCACTCAAGAAGAGCCCCCGAGTGCCCGATGACACGTGGGATGCCGTCTGCTCCGCTCTATGCCGGCGAGTGGACAGGTCCGAGGGCTGGGGTCAGGGGCTGGAGGGCGACTGGCGCGTGCTGCTCAAGATGGCCGCAGCTGTGGCCGGCTCCCAAGCCGAGAAAAGGGCGAGTGCGCAGGAGCTGCTGAGCACGATCGTGAGTGTCATTCTGGACCCTCTGAAGCCCTTCAAGGCGGACCTGAGAGCCCATGATGTGGTCATCATGCTGCGGGCGGTCGGGGGCCTCGACAGGCAGCTGCCGGCGCTCCTTAGCCACGTCGCTCAAGACCTGTGGAAAGGGGTGGTTGTCAAGCAGCTGACAAGAGCGTCGGTCACCTCGAAGAAGGAAGGCGCACTCACCCACGGTGACATCCGCCTGTCCCTGAGGTCATATGCCCTCCTATGCGCCAAGGGCATCCTCACCGTGGAACCGGCAGACCACGAGTTGCTCGCCAGCCTGACGCGCAGCAAGTTTAGCCACCCGAATTGTGGCCTCTATGAGCTCACCAGCGCCCTCGAGTCGTGGCTGGTGGTCCGCCAAGCGACCAGGGGTGGCGAGCAGCAGCAGCAGGCGACGGACGACGTGGTCGCCTTTTTGAACGACCAGATGTGCAAGTGCCTGAGCGACGTGAGGAAGACGGCAAACGGTCGTGCGGCGAGCAAGGCTGACAGGGAGAGGTGGGTGCCCATCCCTCTGCGGTGCTCTGTGGGCCTCCTGCCACACCATGACGCCATTCCTCACGAGAAGCTCCGGAGGCATCTGTTGCACAGGTAGGGACGAAGGGAGGGAAGGAGTCTGCATGCCTCTGCCTGTATTGTGCTGTGTGTCCTACTTGTGTCTCAGCATTTGCACGCTGCATTGGCGCGAGATGAACTTCAGAGGGGCCGTGGAGGTGCTGGCGGCACTCGCACGCACACCCATAACACAAGACGCCTTCGGGGAATGCTGCAGACAGGTGGGCAAAGAAACCAACGACACAACACAACACAACACAACAGAAGCTGCTGCGGCCGCCGCATTTGTCCTCTCCGTTTGTGCAGGCCATCTCGATCCCCCTCACCCAGAAGTCCCCCCGGCCGCACGTGGCTGAATGGTCCGCTTTGCTGCGCATCGCCACTGACTTCTGCCTTTCCAGCCATGCGGCACCTATACCACAATGGGTCGGCAAGGGCCACGACGATCCTGACGAGACCTCGCAGGGCGCTCAACAAGACGCCGCCACTACCGAGCATGAGGACGATACAGATCCAGCGGGGCTGCATCAGGCAGGCCGTGTGCCGGTGTGGCTGCACAAGGCGTACAGGCGGGCTCAGGAGGCGATGGCTGGGCACCTCGAGGGCAGCGGTGCGGCGCCGGCAGAGGTGCTGGGTGTCCTCAAACAAGTCGCTGACACGGGTAGGGAGAGAAGCCACCTACCACACACATCCATGACGACGGACGGATGGATCACTGCATGCGCATTGTGTGTGTGTAGGGATGGGAACCCCGCCTTTCTTCAGAGCCGTGGCCGCCTTCTGCGCGGAGCACGTCGACAAAATCGAGGCAGACGGTAGGATTCTCGCGCAAGTGGCGACGAGAGTTCATCCAAGCAGCGACAGCACAGCTATCCTTTGGATGCATGTGATGTGTGCGATGACAGATGAGATGCGCACGGACATGCTGACGCTCCTCATGCCGCGCCTCGCAAGGAGCTGGCCTGAGAGGTGGGTGCTATCTGCACACAGGCTGATGCGTTACTGCATGGCCACGATACACACGATGTTGACTGCCCTGTCTCTCTGTCTGTCTGTCTGTCAGGGCTGCATTGTCGCGGGTCTTCGAGAGCGCCGGGGACCTTGTCGATCCCGCACACAGGGAGGGAGCGGCAGAAGGGCTGCAACAAGATCGACTGGAAGGTACCTTTACATACACATGGCACCATGCGGAGTGACAACCACGCACTGCGCACTGCCTGGGTGTTGGTGCTGTTCGTCATGTCAGATGTTGATGCGCCCACTGTCATAGTCATAGAGGAGGCCGCACCCGACCAAGTGAGTGACGAGTTCCTCGTCGGCATCAGCAGCCTCGACGACCAGGCCCAAGCCCAGATGCAGGCCGTCGCCAACTCTTCTTCAGTGGAATTGGTCGCCCTGCCACCCGCTGCCGACCAGCACGCCCTCCAGCTCTCGTCATCAGCACCAGCGCCCTATGGCTTCGACGGGATGCTGGTTATCGAGGACAGCGACCAGCTCGCGCGACGGTGGGGAGAGGAGACAGCGGGCATGTACGGGAGGGACAGTCTACTGCAGCAGCTGCGTGAGGAGCTGCTGAGCAGGATCGAGCACAACGCGGACGAGCTGACGCAGATGAAGATGATGAGCGGGCGGCTCGTCATGGAGCTATCGTCGGTCAAAGAGGCCCTGCAGCAGCAGACGGAGGAGCTGGAGCACTACAAGGATGTAGCTGAGGGGTGGCAGAGGGATGCCCACACGGCCAGGCACACAGCAGCAGCAGCAACGAGTAGCTACCAGGATATATCGGCTGCCGCTGACAGTGAGTCGGTCGAGAGTGAGGCGACAGTGCAGTCGAGCGACGAGGGCGAGGAGGCGTATTACAAGATACGGCTGCTCTTCGACAACCTCAGTCAGCAGATCAAGGAGATGCGCGACCACCTCAACCAAGTCGAGATGAACCAGAAGGCCATGGAGGAGTCCAACGCGGCAAGGCAACAAAAAAGTGGTACACCTGGGGTGGGGTGCGGGGAGATGGAGAGAAACGATGCATCCTTATCTGTCGCTTTGTGTATATGTGTGTGATGTCAGGATGGTTTAACATCGGTTCTTTTTCGTCGACGTGGTCGGGCAGTCAGGTCGATGTACTGGACCAGATGGTTGAGGAGAGACACAGGAAACCGTTCGATTTCCACGTAAGCCGCCATCTCATGCAGTGCAGTTCACCTCGGCCCATGGATGGATGGATGGATATCTGCTGTATGTGTGCGTGTGCAGGAGTTTCTCCAGAAGCGTCAGCGGCGCGAAGCCGCCAGAAACCACCACAGGAGTGGTGTCTACTAGTTGGTGTGCTCGTGTTGATGGATGGATGTGTATGTGTGTGAACTGCAGTCATGTGTGAAATGCAGTCAGTTGTGAGTTGTGTGTGTCATAGATCGGAAGCAAGACAGCAAGGCAGGAGGCTGTGCATGACAGTGTAAAAACTGGACGTAGGGCCAGTGGATTCTGGCCAACCTCGCGACGATCGCTTTGGCGAAAGGAACAAACGAAGATGGTGACCGTCACAGAAGGCACCACCTGCGACTTCATCGACCCATCTCCTGTCCCTCATGGACCTGCACGCACATCTGACCCCACCGGTGACCCGTCGACTGCAGAGGAGACCTCAGGTCCCATCAACTCGAGAAGCATCATGACCGTCCTTGACGCAGCCATGGAACGGTCGAAGCGACAGAGATATGAGCTTGATGCATATCTTTCCCAGCTGAGGCGCAAGAAATTCTACCAGCCAGGGCCAGAGGAATCCAGCCTTGCAGATACAGGGGGCTCGCCAGCAGCCCACGAACGGCAGCAGGGGACCTCAGAGGCGCTTGTGGCGTTCCCTGCCGACTTTGATGAGTCGGTGGACATGGCTGTCGAAGCTGCGCAGGAGTCGCGGCAAGACCAGACGCGACAAGAAGAAGAAGATCATGCAGCTGTTCGCACCGCCGTCCCATCGTTTCTCACAAAGTACTTTGACAAAGTGAGTGGCACTGCCTCGAAAGTGTTGTCGACGAATTTCACTAGGTACTGCAATTCCGTTTCTCTCTGATGCGTGATGCATGCAGGACACCGTGAAAGAGATACCGATCAAGAGGATTGAAGCTGCGGAACGCACGGAGCGGAAAGAGACACAATTTGGCCGCAACGATGAGGACAAGGAGACACATTCTTCTTCGCTTCGGACGAAGATCCAGGAGGGGCTACAAGAGATACACAGGCTGGATCGCATTATCGAGGAGAGGGAAGCACAAACCGCAACCAGTTCTGAAGCGAGGGGAAAAGAGCGAGCCGAGTCGACTTATCCCACCACTCTACCTGCACGGAAATCGACCGTCCTGCGCCAGCCCAGCCGGTCACCATCTGTCTCGTCGATGAGTCAGACCTCGTCGTCAGCCGGCCTTGCTCATCGGAACAACCGGAATCATCTGCGGCAAAGGGCACGGAGCATTGAAGGCGTATCCAAGAAGGAGGAGGCAAGATTATCAGAGGGAGCACAAGACGACCCCCGCCAGGAGAGCAAGGAGAGCATCAGCTCCTCAGACCTCAGCACTCCACGGTCTGAAGGCATCAGCGCATTCCTGCCAGATGCAGAGGACAGCGAGCGGCTCCACCACATCAACCGCCAACTCCGCGATATCGTCCCAGAGAGCATGTGGCTGGAGCGGGCCATTCCAGCTCGACCGTCTTCTGCCGCGCACTCTGAGCTCGTCTCCACTGCTTCCGAAGAAACCAAGAAAAGGGGCAAGAGGAGCCGCGGTATCAGAGTTATGAGAGACACGGAGATGGAGTACCACAAGGTCCTCCACTCGTCCCTTGCGGCCATCAACGACGTCGACCAGCGGCTGATGAGACTCAAGACCCAGCCAATCACTCCGCAGAAAATGGCTCAGGCAGACGTCGCCCGCCTCACGGCACAGGAGGCGAGACCACCCGACCATCTGCTAGTGGCACGGAGGGCGCTGTGTGCCCTGATGGACACGCAGGAGGAGGCTGAGGAACTGTGCTATGAATGCGAGAGCGACTTGAGGCACGTGGAGGACGCGGTGGAAAGCGCCGAGCTGCACACACGTGAGGGCGAAGATCACGTCTCGATTGGCGACAGAAGGAGGAGACGGCTGTACGAGAGGCTGTCGGAGGCGCAGAGAGAGGTGAAACGGAAACAGATTATTCGCGACATCACCTGAATGTGTTTCATTATGTGTGTGTCCTTTCTTGTCCCTAATGCACCATAATTGACATTATACACCAGTCCGAGTCGCCGGGACCGGGATCAGAAGGAGGAATAAATGCACCCTGATGAGAGCTGGTGATGGCGGATGCACTCCTTTGTATGTGTGCTGGTCGGAGGTGCTTCGGGGCTGTGTCCTGATTGTGCAGCGCCTTTCTTTGACCAGCTCCTGTATGTCTGTCTGTCTGTCTGTCTGTCTGTGTGTGCGTGTGTTGTATCGCTCAACTCTGATGGTGGCCAGTGTGATTTGTATGCGCCGACGCCGTTCAATTCAATCAGTCTAACGCCAGTCTCCCACACGCATGCATCAGGCATTGCCCGCCTGTCTGGCCAACGTATGTGCGTGTGGCCGTTCCTCCAACATATTTGCTCACTCAGCCAGTCAGCCACCGATCGATGGACGCAATGCATCCCGCACCATGCACCACCACAAATCCAACCAATCCATTCGCGCCGAAATGATAAAGATTACGCACCATGACACCGCGCTCAGACGGTCTGTTCATGCCACCACGTCAGCCGCCCCTTTCGCCCCGGCAGCTCCCTCAACGGCACTATCACCAGCACCGGCAGCAGCCACCTCACTCTCGTACTCCCTCGGTGTGGTCTCGTCTCCTTGGTCCGCGGTCGCCGCCTCGGCGTGAAGCGCGTCGGATGTGGTGGTCGTGTCGGAGGGGCTGTCATCCTTGGTGCTCGACATGGCAGCGGGCGCAGAGAACCGGGCGCTGGCCGACCCCCTCATGGGGGCGGGGGAGGTGAAGCCGGGAAGGCCCCCGGAGCTCTGGCGGTCCATGCCGGCAAACGGTGAGAAGGTCTGGAACATGCGAGACAGCGACTGGGCGAAGTTGGTGCTGCTGCCCGGTGAGTGGCGGGCCTTCATGCTGCCGCGAGGGCGGTAGGGGCGGTCCCGGGAGGAGGGCCGCCTGGAGACGCTGTTGCTGGCCGCGGCTACGCCCTTCTCGTCTTCACTGGCGCTGTGCCCCTTTGCAGGCTCCTCCATCGTGACTTCCACGTCTCGTGGGCTCACTGGGGGAGTGACCCCAGACTTGACTCTGCCGCTGCTGTCGGGCGAAACCGACAGGGGCTCCAGGGGGAGGTTGTGGGTGTCCGTGTTATTGAGGCTCCTCCGCTTGGTCTTTCTGCTGGAGAGGGAGCTGTGGTGGTGGCCGCTCATAGTGGTCATGGGCTTGGGCGCTGGCGGAGTGGTGTTGCTGTTGTCATCAGAGCAGTAGTAGCTCTCATATTCGCTGTCGACCCCAGGGTTGGAAGATGGACAGCTGTTGCCGCGCTCTGCATAACCACCAAACAATCAATCAACCAACCAAACACACAACCCGCAATACACACATTCTTTTCCCTCAATACCTCCATCAGTGTCCTCCCTAGGCGTAGAGGGTGCCCCCGACTTGCCCCCGGTGCCTCCCAGCTTCTCCTTGTCTTCCTCCGCCTGAGCCCCAGGTGGAGCATTCTTCCCGCCCAGGCCCTGAGACGGCGATGCGGATGACACCGACAGCGACGCTGCCACGGACGGGGGCGGGGCAGTGGGCATCGGGTGGAGAAAATCCAATGCTCCACTCGCGGCCATATTCCTTATACACACAATCATTTCTTATGTCTGCCTGGTATGCCCTCTGTGTATTGCTCACCTTCCGTCCTTGCCGTCTGCACGCGCAGGCGGCAGCAGGAATCCGTCGGCTCCCTTGTGCTGCTGCTCCTTGGATGGCTCATCTTCGTCGATGGACAGCGTGGGCAGCGGTGCGATGTGGCACTTAAGGGCGCCGGAGGGGTAGTGGCGGACCGTGTTGGGGGTGGTCGGGGTGGGGATGTACTGGTCGTTCATGCGGCCTGACCTCAGAGAGGACGCGCGGGAGGCCGCCACAGCGATGTGCCGATTGAGCTTGCCCTGCAGACATCCCATCCCAATCAGGAGAGACGGTATGGGATAGATGTCCTTGAGTGCTCTTTACTGGCTGCTTGTTCCCTCACATGCAGGTGGTTGACTGAATCAGTCAGTTTCTGTATCTGGGCCACTGTCGCCAACGTGTCGTAAGGCAACCCGGCAGCATTCCCCTGCCCTCCCGCCCCCGCCCCGGCCCCGGCAGTGCCGTTCATGGACCTCTCGTCGGCCTGTCCGGCCGTCCACAGGCTGGTGTTTCCCGGCGACTCGTAACCACGTGTGGAGCAGGTGCCCTGGGTCCGGTGGCGCCCAGGAGGTGGCGACGTGTTGCCCTCCTGCATTTATGCATTCATTCGTCAAAGGGGAATAGTGGTTTGTGTTCGCGTGTGTGTGTGGTTGCCTTGATCTGTAGCTTTTCCAGGACGGATTGGATTTCCTGGACGCCTGAGGCGATGTCCAGAAGCTCTGCAGGCTCGCCCTGCACCTGACATGCACAAGACAGACAGACAGCATTGCATGGGAGTATGCTGCCAAAAGTCGCTGGCATCTGCGGGTGGGTTACCTGCGAGACATGAGCGGGAGACGCCGAGCCTGGGGCGGCTGCTGCTCCTGCCGAAGAAGATGACTGAACCTCCTGACAGCGAAATAGCGGGAATGCTCCCATGCAGTTAGTGCATCCACACTCACCCGCCCACCTGTTCCCTGGCTGACCTGTATGTGTGCGAGTATCATTTGTGTGATGGGTGTATGTTTGAGTATCTTCTGTATGCCCTCCACGTCGGCCCTCACCTCCTCCAGCTTCCGCACCTCCTCCTCCAGCTGAGTCTGCGCGTACGACAGACGAGACACCTCACTCTCGAGACGCCGAACCTGACACACACGTTGCATTCAAACACACAACGCAACACGCCACCACAGAGGCAGGGAGAGCGCGTATGTGCCGTGTCGAAAGGACGGCCTCTCTCCTGCTGTCCAGTCCATAATACGTCCGTCGTGAGAGTCATCTGAAGCTGCACACGACACACAATACGCACACACAATTGGGACGGAACCGGTTCTCGTCCAGCCCCGATTGTTCCATGATTACGAGCATGCCGAGTGTGGTGTCCATCTGCTGCTTGAGCGCCTCCACCTCCGACTGCATCCGGGCAATCGCCTCGTCCTTGCCTGCGCCCTCCCCCTCCCCCTCCCCGCCTCCCTCGCCATCAGCCGTCCCAGCCCGCCCACCAGGCGGCGGACAGGAAAGGCCCCCTCAGCCGCTGCACTTCTTCCTTGACACTTTTCAAATCCTCCTTTAGCGTCTCCTGCTCGCTCTGCTGAAGCAAGATGGACTCCTGCTGCCGCCTCATCTCGTCCAGAAGGGAGGCGTGCTGCTCCACTTTCGCGCGAAGGGGGAAGACGTCGCCGTCATGAAGCTCTCTGCCGGGGGAGGAGCGGACGGACTGCAAGATTTCGCCGATGTCGGTGCGCATCCTTTCTACGTCCCGTTCGAGAGTCTGGATGGCGCCCTGCCGCCTCCGCTGCCGGAAGGGCATGCTGTCGACGTAGAAGGGCATGTACCAGGGCCCTCCCTCGCCCGTCTCGCACTGGTCAGCAGAGGACGCCCCCTTCATTGCAGGGCCATTCCGCACTAGTTGTCCCAAGTCCGTCCCGTCTTCGGAACCTCCGACACCTTCTAATCAGAAGCAAAGAAGGGAGGTGGCGATCCTGAGCTCGCAGCTCGAGTTTCATCCATCAGCACCCTCTTCATGCCCTACGCCTCCCCACAGACCACAGACTTTGTCAAGCTGTGAAGCAAATGGATTCACGATGTGACTCGCATCGAAGACGGCGGCGGATCTTCTTGTTGAGATTGTGTACTGCTCTATTACTCGTCCCTGCTCTCGCTTCGCCGGTTAAAGGAGGAAGACCGGCTGACGGAGGACATACGACTGTGGAAGATCAATGTGACAGGCCTTGCCACTGCGAGTGTGTCTGCAATGGGACTCATGGGCCGTTATGGGGCAAGGGGAGTCGCGTGTCTGCCTGGATGGCAGCTGCTTTCATCGTTGGGCGGCTAGCGGAGCGGAGGGACTCGGCCGATGCACTTCCTCCGGCGCCTCATCTGTCTTATCGTGACGAGGTCGATGACGACACTCATGAGCTCTCTCTCTATCAATCGCACTCGCTGCCGCGTCATCAGCGCTCAGCAGCAGCAGCAAGCCGCCAGCTGCAGGTCGCCGAACCAACCGACGGGCTGACGAGAGATGTAGCTGATGGCGTATCGGCTGACTCAAAAATGCTGCACGATTACGGGGAACCGTTCAGAGTCTCAGACGACACTCCCGCCATCTCGACCAGTACTTCACCGCAGCAGGACGGCCATGCCATGTCAGCGATGATGAAGCTGCAGCTGCTGCGCAAGTATCGGCCGTTCGGTCCCGAGGATCGAGTGATGCCCGGAACATCGATGCGTGTGCTCGTGGGATCGGATGGTGCCAATGAGACCAATGGGACAGTGGGTGTCATTTATGAGGATTGTATGGTGTGTGAGGAGGATGCTGGCGGGCCACTCAGGGAGTTCATTCGCTCACTGAACATCGAGGTGAGAGGGCGTCCGGCTGCTGCGGGTTTCCGCGTGTGCGATCTGCCTTTCATTGTATGCCTTCGTTTCCGGACGACGCACGAGGGCCCGTCGAGGATGGGAGGCCATGTGGTTGAGGAATGGATGGAAGGGGGCGATGGGATGGTGGACGGGTACATCATGGTGCTTGACCCTGGCCAGCAAACGCGGCTTATCTTTCCTCGTGGAGGTGTGAAGCTACATTCATCTCTCTACGACCTGAAGGGACTACTCGGCGTCGTGCTGGTAGATGCCCCCGTACATGGCAGACTGTCTGAGAGGATCGGCGAGATGGTGCAGCCAAGACTGCTGTACATACATCAGGTGGGGGTAACCAGGCAGCTGGCGGGATACCCAAGCCTCTAGATTTCTCTCGCTCTCTCTTGATTGCTGGCTGTGATGTTACAGAGTCAGCTCAGCGGTCCGCTGCCCGACGCCATTGTCTCTTTGCCGGACCTACGCGGCCTCTATTTGGATGACACCCAGTTGAATGGCACTCTGCCACCATCTTTCCATACGATGTTCGGCAAATCAGTGGAGGTACTCTCCCTCAGCCGCAACCCATTGGGCTTCAACGTGCGCTCACTCTTTCACGGCCAAGAGGCCAACTTGTCTGCGGCCGCCCCTCCCCCTCAATGCACCACTTTGAGGATAGTGAGGCTGTCAGGCAAGAGCATCACGGGCTCTCTTGTAAATGCTTTCGACCATTGTGAGTCCCTGGAAGTGTTTCTTATGAGCAGTACGGCCATAACGGGCGCGCTGCCGGCTCTCAAGAACATGCCCAAGCTTCACAGATTTTGGCTAGAGAACTGTGAGAATGCCACGGGCACCATCCCGGCCGCCTACGGCAACGTCACTTCTCTGCGAGACTTAGTCATTCACAAGTGCAAGGTACATGACACAATCCTATAGCTTATTCCCGCTGTTCATGCATCATCCGTGTTGTTAGGGTATTGAGGGTCCTATTCCTGATTCTCTAAATGGACTCTGGAGACTGCGCAGACTCGACATTGAAGAAACAAGGTCGGTTGCTGTAACAGAGAGTGCGACGGATCGCTATTTGTGTGTGCTACTGTCAGTGTTGATCAGCTATCTGCAACACTCGAGGGCCTCCGGCATGTCCAGCATATTGATCTATCTACTAATCGTCTCGCAGGCGTTATACCAGCGTGGCTGAGCCGTATGGATTCTCTGAAAAAGCTGTACCTCAATCGTAATGCCTTTCATGGTTTTGAGGGTGACTGACGTATACCGTCCAAGTAAGTCAGCGATGAGTGACTTGCACGTAGACATGTATATTGCTGTAATGCATCTAGGCTGGAGGTACTTCTTCTCTCCGACAATCTCCTTTCACGCATCCCTCCTGGGTGGAGACGTCTAGACAATCGTAAGCACATGTAAAAGCACGCGCTTCATACAGACAATCAACGCACTGATGCAGACAATAATGCACTCACAATATTGCGTGACTGCTGCAGTAAGGGAACTGTGGCTTTCCGGCAACCGTCTGGAGCCACTCAAATGGGGAGTACATTTATCTGCTCTTCCCGCTGTCTCAAGTACAGCCGATAAATCAATAGTATGATTCATGGGTGTATGACCTATGGTGTCAGGTCCGAGTGCTCGCTTCGTAGCTCAAGTCCTAGCCAATCCGCCTCCTTACTGGCCACAACTCCACTCGCTTGAGATGAGCAGAAACCGCTTCAATACGACTGTAGACGAGTTTCTGATGCCCTGGAAGTGGCAAAGGTCTCTTCGGCGCCTGACCGGGCGCGTCAACGGCCTTCACGGCTCTTTGACGGCAGATGCGGTGACGACTTTCGACTTGCAACAGGTCTTTGATACAGGACTCCTCAATACGCCCTTATTCATGCGATACAAGGCTTCGTTCATGGCGGCTTATCGGTTGCAAACGAACGCTACAAGTATGGATATGGTGAGCGACAATTATGGGTCGCCTGCGGAGTCGGCCAATGAGAGTGTGGCTGACGATTCTGATCTGTCGATGGATGTGGAGAAGCTAGACTACGCGCTGACGATTGATGACTTATATCCAGACATCAACCTGAGGACGCATAAGGGATTCGAGTCATTAAGTGAGCTCCTGCTGAACGTGAATGAAATTGAGGACATACGCGATGGATGGTATGTTCTTCGTTCACGTCTCAAGTCTCTGTATGCAATGTGCCTTAACTTGCATGGTATGGTTCTGTTTAGGCACTCCACTCCTGCCTCCCTGAGGTATCTTTATCTTCTTCACAACAGAAAGCTGAGGCTTCAGGTGCGTGGAGGATTCAGAAAGTTATCTGTTCAATGTTTAATGCATTTTCTTTCGCAGATACTGCCGCACAGCAGCAAATCGTGCTCAGCTCACAGGGAAGCGCGAGAAAATTCGTTTCAGCTTGCTGCCCAGCTTGTTGCCGATCATGACGGTAGGAAAATTTAGAGCCATTATACGTTAGGTGGCTGTGATGAATGGTGAATGTGTGTTTGTATTCATAGATTATCTCCCGTATAGCGAGTGGCGTAGGAATCATACAGACCACTATTGGGAGGACTTTGTATGGGAGGTCCATCCGGCCGTCGAGTGCACGGACATATGTACAAATGCCTTGGGAGTCAAAGTATATGTAAGAAGAAAGGAATGAATCAGATTTTCCTCTCGCTCCGTCTTGACTTTTATGGCCAGGCGGATGTAACAGTAAATGTTGATGCATTGTGTCGCTGCAAGGATGGATGGGAGGGGAGAAGGCTGAACTGCACTCAATGCCCGCCTGGCCAGGGTGAGCACTGCTGCCAAATAGCCAATCTCTCTCAGTTCACGCATCCCTGTATGAGTGTGGGTGTTTCTGTTTGTTCAGTGACGATACATGCTCAGGGCATTCAGAAATGTCAGAAATGCCCCCTTGGCCGAGGTAAATATCGAAAAATCTCTGATTCCCTATCAATCCTCTATCAACGGCATTCTCTGCGTGATTTGAGGTTTGCAGTTGCAATAAATGGCACAGCCTGCTCAGCGTGTGATCGAGGCTATGAATTCAAAGGCAACAGATGCAGCCCGTGTCCAGCAGGTAAGCGGGCAAGCTCCAATGACACGTTTGATTCTGCTATCACATTCAGGCACCTACAAGGCAGTTCAGGGCGATACTGTTCCATGCATACGCTGTCCTGGTCTCCACTCAACCTCACCGATTGCGAGCACATCACGACAGGGCTGTTATTGCGAAGAACTATACGCAATGTACGCGGAACAACAATGAGAGACATGAGCAGCCATCAGTTCTGATGATCTTTTACTTGTTTTGTTCGATCTTTCATTTGTTTCGTTCACAGCGATCATGTACAAAAGAGTGTTTTCTACTTCCAGAGGAGAGCCTGAAACGGATGCCACATACGGATAGCTCAAGCCTCTGCGACACACGTGGCAGCAGCTCCGAGGGCATGGAGCTCACAGACTCTCAGCGTCCATTTCTCGTGCAGCCGAGCTGGTACGAGCTGGACATGGATGTGCCCCTGCTCGTGCCCGTGCTGGCGGCCAAGTCGACAGAGGCTCCCTTAAAAAGTTTCTGCAACCGGCATGGCGCCGTCGTCAGAGTGGAGGCCGACAACAGCAGCAATCGATCTCTGCCTTTGGGGCGACTCGGTCTTGTGCGCGGCATCCCTCTGTCGGCATACACAACGGAGCTTGAAGTCAGTGCAGCAAATGTGACGCCTGAGCGGCGTAGAGCGCCGCTCAGGGGGGCGGGTGGCGGTGAAGCTGTTGCAGAAGAGCTCGCTCTGCCGCCCGTGTGGGTGGACCCTGAGACGAACGTCACCTACCGACGGCTGCCGGTGCCGATATCAACGTAAGTATGTGTGTGTGCACATCACACTCTATGTCGACACCTGTGCTGCTGTGATTCGTTCAGATATGATGCACACGTGACTTCTCGGCCTGTGTTGGTGCGGTGTCCTGTTCCGGAGGCCTGTGAGGGCTCGGACTGGGACGCAGCCACGCAGACCGTCACAAAGCTCAACAAATGCAAGGCAAGACGAGACGGCGATATGGCGCGACGGACAACCACTTGCTAGTGTGATGCGCCCGTGCGTGTGTGTGTGTGTGTGTGTTCGATCGGTCAATCAGGATGGTCACACGGGTCCCATGTGCGGGAGCTGCGTCAAGGGCTGGCGGAGTGTGGGGACACTGTCGGGTCTGTGCAGGAGATGCGGCAGCCACGGGTGGAACACCACGGGAGCCGTCGTCCTGTATGTGGTCGTCTTAATTGTCATATTCATTGCCACCACACTCTCACAGAGGTGCGGCAACACAAACGGCCGACTGACCTGCTGCCTGGCTCCAGTCGTTGGTTGTGTGCCTGTGTATAGGTCGAGTGTGCTGCCTCGTGCTCATGTCCATGCGATGCTGATTAAGATCGGTCAGCAGTGAAAGAGACTCAGAAAGCACACGAAGCTGTCACCTCTGTGTGTGTGTGTGTGTGTGTGTATCTGTCACTCACACAGGTCTCTACCACCTCACAGCGGTCAGTGACTCGCCCTGTCGGACACCTCAAGCCAAGCGAAATAAGACCACTTTGCTTGCCTGACTCCCCTGCGTGTGCCTGTCATGCGTGTGTTTGCCACTGTGCACTCAGGTTAGCGCCCTGACATTCTTTGGCCTCCATTCTTCGCGCATGCTGCCGCCGGACGGCATCGAACTTCTTCGGTGGGCCTTCCGATGGGACGGTAAGTATGCGCGGCCCAGTGAAGGCAGGCTACCGGCTATATCGTCTTGTATGCCTTTATGTGTGTTGATGCAGGTGGAGTGCCGACGGCAGACGTCACGTAAGCAAGGCTGTGGCCAGCCGTCCAGCCTTTCTCGCATGTTGGCGTTGTTGTTTCAGCTGGGAGTGTCTTCTGAGGGATGGCGGGATGCGGGGCAGCGACGTGATGCTGGCCAGGAGGGCCTCGTGGATTGCACTCCCGCTCGTCTGGTCAGTCGATCAATCAGCCAGCGACAGCTCAAATCGTGTCAATTTGTGCATTACCAGGCTGACCGTCGCCACTCTGCTGTGGGGTCTATGGCAAACTCTGCCTCTTCATTGCAAGGCCTCCAACCTCTCCCAGATGTGCTTCCCGGGCACAAACAAGCCTCACACAGACGACGATGTTGCAGACCCACATGAGCAGGAGCAGCCCCAAACCCACCGTTCTGGCCAGCGGCAGTCACAATCGGGCAGCCTCAGCGAGAGGTGGCGGAGAGCGAGGGACAAGTTGCTGCAGTACTTCGTGTCGCCCCAGCTGTGGATAGTGTGCCTCACGTTCATCCACCCAAGTGAGCTGGGCAGCGATAGATAGGCAGACAGACGAGGCAAGGAGATGGCGGTGTGGTGTGCTGTGCCGTTGTGTCGTTGTCGTGTCTCAGCCGTGACGCGTCAGCTGCTGGAGATCCTCCCTTGTCGACACTTTCCATCCATCCCCTTGTCAGCGCACCCCGGCGAACTCCTCCAGGAGCCCTATCCAACCGTCCGCCGCTCACTGCTCGACCCCTCAATCCTCTGCTACACCGGCCAGCGCCTCACCTTCACCATTGTCTCCGTCGTGGGGCTGTGCGTGTGGTCCTTCGGCCCGGTCATCGCGGCACTGAGCATTCTGTGCTCGTACCAGCGGTCGGGGCGGCTCTACAAGCGGCAGACGCGCAAGAACCTGGGATTTCTCTACAACGGCTACCGTCGGTCCTTCTTCTACTGGGATGTCTGTTTTGCTCTGCGGCGGATAGCCACCCTTATCATTGCGGAAGCGGGAGCGTCTTTGGGTGATGGGATGATCCAGCTGGTGTGTTGGCAGCTCGTGGCTGCCTCGTCGCTCATCGTGCAGCTGTGGGTGAGGCCCTTCGACAGCAGATCGTTCAATATTCTCAATCGCATGGAGGCGCAAGGTATGTAGGCGCCAAGGCCACACTGCCTGCATGGTCGGGTGCGTCAGTCTGTTGGTCTGTCGATCGATTGATTTCAGGTTTGCTGATTTGGAACGTCTCACTGTGGTGTCTGATGCTGCTGGCGTCGACAGCCGCCCACCCGACTGTCAGCCAGGAGGTGCAGCTGGGGCTGGGATACGTGCTGACAGGCGTCATCGTGCTGATCAATGTCTGCCACATCATCGCTCTCATTTATCACACTATACACCACTCTATTGGTGAGCCAGCCACACCAGCCAGACAACCACCACTGTTGATTGAGGGCGTCCGGTCGGTCACGCGTGCCTGCGTCTATGTGTGTGTGCATAGGTTTCCTGATGACGTCCATTCTGCTTCAGGATCTTCCAGATGAACCAGGGGTGGAACAGAAGAAGGACGGCATCCTCTTCGCGGCGATGCGTCGGGTTGCCTTCATGCTCGGATACCTTGAGGACAGGAGGCGGGCACGAGTCCCAGTAGTGCGGCTCGACGCAGACGGCAGTCAGCTGACGATATGCCTTAAGACCAGCGATGGCGGGGCCAAGGGGAGGGCAGCAGCCACGCCATCAAGCACATCTTCCTCACGTCAGCCGGGCAAGCGATCGTGCAGCTACATCGTCGATGCAGCGATGCCTGCCTCTTCGCTGCCCCTTCCAGTCCCGATGACGTCACACAGCGCACCAGCCGCACTACTAGAGGGATCGTCTGGAGCTGAGGGCTACAACGATTTGAGAAAGCACGACGCGGCGAGCGTCTACGAGCCCGAGCAGCGGCTGCCAGAGGATGCTCTTCGCCCGTTTCCGACCTTCATCGCAGACGAGTCGAGATCGCAAGAGCCACCGCCGGCGGGTCCCCAGCTTCCCAGTGCGTCGAAAGGAGAAGCCGGGCGAGCTGCTGACAGCCTGCCACCGGAACAAGCACCGAGCCCCCAAATGCCCGCATCCCTCGAGCCATCCTCGGTGATACCGACCGAGGCGTCCGGCCGGTCGGCCAATCCGCTGAAGGAGGTGTGGTATCGCATGTCGACGGTAGCCAAGACTCTGACGTCACGAACTATGCGTGCGCGTCGTGTGGAGAGCGACCGGCGGAAGCGGTGGTGTTCTGAGGTGATGAATCTGACGAGCGAGGCGATGCAGGAGGTCATCGAGCAAGTGGGCATCCAGGCCATCCCATGCGACTTTGTGGAGTTCCTCTGGCACCAGACATTTAAGGTGCACAAGGCTAGGCGGCGGACCATTTAGGATCCGACGTCAGGCAACGAGCGGATCGTCCTCCTGCCCTCCTTGGAACTCAGGGTGTGCACGAGGCCTCGTTCATCTGCCCTTCGTTTGAGTGTCGGGCCTGTCTGTCTGTCTGTCTGTCTGTTGCGTGTGCATGCTCAGGTGGGCGGCCAGTCTTCTCTGTACAGGGCGTCTTCGTCATCCTTTGTGGACCTGATGAACACGATTCAGGAAGAGGCCGTCACCGACGACACCACCAACACCGAAGGCATACCATTCACCGACTTCCAGGTATCCAAACAAGCACCAGCGACACCGTGTCAGACTCGCATATCCTCTCTGCTTCCCTGTTCTCCCTGTCGCTCTGCGTGTGGCCATGTGGTACGTGCAGAGTAGCATGGCGTTCGTTGTGGATCGGCTGATCAATGCTGGCCCCGGCTGGAAGGACGTGTACACCGCCTTCAAGACGGCAAGGCAAGCGGACAAGGGTCACCAGGCCAACAACGGCCGTGTGTCGCCCCGATGACTGAGTGGCTGCATGTGTGTATACGTGCTTTTGTGGATGCTGGTGCGCGGATATGTCCGTGCGGCCTGTCTGTTTTGTCACATTCGTTTTTTGCGGCTCCCTTAGTTGCCGGCGTACGTACGTCCTTGGTCTTCCTGGCGTGTGTGGTTTGGCCATGCACGGCACGCACACGTGATTCCTTTAGTAGGCCAGTCTATTAGTGTTTGTGTAATTTTTGGGCAATGCGCCTTCAGGGAGGGAGTGAGACACCGCCTCCCTTTTCGCGCGTGTGTTCCATCAAGTGGGTGGTGGATCTTGCCTGAGTGTTGACTTGGCGTATGTATGTGCCGGGGAAGATGGTGGAGGGGTCGTCTGCGTCGTAGTTGTGTCCCCCGGGCCTGACGCCGGCTGTAGGGTTGTTGAGCAGGGTTTCATACCCTGACCTCTTCTTTCGTGAAAGGCAGTGACAGGCAGGTGAGGCACATCGGTCTGCTTTCTGATTGACATGAGTGAGGACGTGCCCATCGATTGGAGTGCGGCCGCTGTGCCACAGCAGCAACAGCCTCAGGCCTCTGGGTCATCGGCAAGAGCCGACACCGCAGGCTCTGGTCCATCCCCGATGGACATATCCAATGACACTTCCTCTCCCACACCGGCAGCGGCAGCAGCAGCCGCAGCAGCAGCAGCATCAACATCGGCAGCAGCAGCGGCCAGCAGCTCGTCTGACTACACTGAGGAGGAGGAGATAGTCTTCATGGAGTTCCCTGAGTTCGTCCGCAGCGTCTTCTTCAAGATGGGCGGCAAAATCAACACCATCGAGGCCGTCGACAAGTACCCCCCGGCGCCGCCCGAGGCGCTGCTGGGTGGCAAGTACGGAGACCCCTATCAGCTGATGGAGGAGAAGCCATGCATGTGCCTGCGGATGGAGGCGGGTGAGGCCTGTCCGTTCCGAATGTATGCGACTGAGAGGGAGACCATCGGGACGAACGTGTTCTTTCGGTGCGAGAAGGGGGAGGGCGGGGATGTGCGCGTGGCCTACGACAGGCACAGCGAGAAGACCTACTGGTGCGAGATATACGACCCCATAGGGCAACTACAGGTGACGGACGGAGGGAGGAGGAAGCCACGCACTCATCCACCCAGGCGTATAATTGACCAACGTGTGCGCCTTTCTGTCTGGTGTTGGTGGCGTATGTGTGTGTGATGCAGAGGGCTTTGCCGAAAGCGCCAGACCTGCAGCGTCTCTGATCTGATCTGATGTGCTTCTCTTCCTTTGCTGTGTGTACACACACTGACTGATGGGACAAGTAGCTCGATGACCGACCGACCGACCGATTGAATTACTGACTGACTGACGGACCAACTCATGATGCCGATTTGCTCACATGGCTTTCTGGGTGTCAGTGACTGACTCATCACGTGGTTCAAGTCAAGTCATTCGTTCATCTCGGTGCCTGCCTGCTGTCCTGCCTTGCTGGCATCGAACGAATCGCATACATCCACTCACTGCATCCTTCAGTCCATTCATCTCACTCCTCACACCGACTGGCTATACACAAATCCTCACACATCCCATCATAGAGCCCCCCTCCATCCCTCATCAGTCAGTCACTTGCCTCCCCTCTTGCCCCCTGCCGCCGCTGCACTCTGTGGAATCCCGAGGAACTTGGGGAGGGGGCGTGCGTCTGCCAGCTGGGAGCTCTCAGCTAAGAGCTCTGACGGCAGCAGCTGTATGAAGCGGTCGAGGAGCGCCACGGACTCGTCGTAGTACCTGTAGCACTCCTTCTGTAACAGGCCAACGGCCATGGATGCGGCAGCAGAACAACGCACACACACACACACACACATGCACCAATCAATCACAACCCACCATTTCTTAAGTGTACCTGATACTTGGCAAATGACCTTTGTGTGCCGCTCGCAGTGTCGAAGGCGAAGATCTGCTCAACACAGAGAGATAAGCCAGAGAGGCTGGGTTGTCTATCGGTTTTTGTGTGTGTCACCGACCGGCGTGTAGATGGAGCTGTCCAGGTCAGACATGGTGTTCCTGCACACATACCAAATACAGACACAAGCGGAGAGTCACATGTGACGTGTGTGTGCGTGTGTGTCTGGGTTGGCTCCTCACAGGAGGTCGCCAGCGATCTCCAGCCCCTCGACCTCATCGATGTCGTTGGACACCTTCTTGAGCACAGAGTTGAGCCGCAGGACCCTCGTGCAGTAGTTGACATTCGAACGCGCCCGGTCCCACTGACCCTCGGCTATGTAGCCCTAAATGCAATCCAGCCAACCATCTTATCGACCGCATCACCCATGTGTCTGGTATGTCTGCCCGACTGACTGACTGACCTTCACAGGATCCATTGCCCGCCTGCACACGAACACTGTCGCGATTGCCTCGGTCGTGTTGCCAAGACCGCTGCTATCGCCCCAGGCAGGGCCACCCCCACCCACCAGTGGCAGCACCAGAGCTGCAGAAGCCGCCGCCACAACCTCACGCCTCGACAGTGCCGCCACAACCTTTTCACTCGGCACACACGAGCCATCAACTGACGTCATCGTCAAGGACCAAGGACACCTCCTTCTTGGTCCTTGCTGCCGTCTTGGTTGCAGATCGTTGATGAGCCTCCTGCTTTCCACAACGGAAGGCGGTGAGATGAACGTTGATGGAGACGGGCTGATGGCGGCGAAGCATTGAGCCGCAGAAGAGAGATAAGCTGAGATGGTGACTGCGAGGAAGAGCAGCAGCGCCATGGCACCCTCAGATGCCGCCGGGACGCTGCAAAGCCTCAAAGCCTCAGAGGAAAGCCGAAGCGACAGTGAATGAATTGAGAGATCCGCAATTGCATAGAGGGCTGCGTGACGTGAGAAGCGCCATCGAAAAGCCCACAAGTCGTTTCCCTTCACACCCGCGGGAACGATCGGCAGATCTGCATCGGCTCCCCTCTCCCGCGTGTTGTGCTTGTGCGTGTGTGTTTGCTTATTTAAAGTCTGTGTGCGGTGGTTTGTAATTCAGCATGAGCGAATCAGCCCCCTCCCCAGCAGCCGCCCAGGCCGACTCACCGACCTTCCCTTCGCCAGTGTGGGGCAAGATCTCGCCCTGGACCTGGTTCAGATGGTCGTCCTTCGTCGTGGTGGTGGCTCTCGGCGTGACTCTGCTGGAGCTGTACCAGGGTGGGCGCACATGCGGGCTGAGACACACTCACACATAGCGGGAGGGAGAGAGATGAGTTGGGCTGACTGTGTTATGTGTGTGCGCAGGAGGGCTCAACTGGCACATTCTGTTCTGGTATGCCGTGGTCTTCATCTGGACGTCCTGCATCACCACCAACCCATGGTACGTACGAGCCCCTTTCTCTCCGTCTGCCCGTCTCTCTGTCTCTCCACATGTCTGTCTGTCTGTCCATCGCTGCAACGGATGCAGGGCGTTCTACAACGGCGAGGGCAGCTCTCTGCTGGACCGTGTTCGCGCCATCATCCCGCTGACATCGTCGTGCCTCCCGGGGCACACTCAGTTCGATCGCCGGTCGCCCACCGGCCAGTCGCTGTCATCGATGCCATCCAGCGCCACGCTGCATCAGGGAGACGTGGGATTCTTCACCCTCGCCAGCAGCGCGTTCATCACGTGGATATTCGCCAAGAGCATCTTCAACTCAGCCACTCTGGGGAGCAGATTCGGCATGCTCGGTGAGGGAGGGAGGGAGGGAGGGACAGAGGGAGAGGATCGAGTGTGTGTGTGTGTCAGGTGGTGTGGCGTATGCCGGTTGGTACGTGTCGTTCCTCTCTGCTGCTATTGTCGGCTACGTGCTGAGGGTCAAGCAAAACGCCAAGAGCCTCCCCAGTGGTATGTATGTCATCATCACACTCCGCCATCCAACGCACACACGTGTGTGTGTGTGTGTGTGTGTGTACAATCCTTCAGCCGTGTGTCGGTGCTACGGTGACATAGCCACCTTCTGCTTCGAGCTGGCGCTGCTCTACCGACTCTTCAACGAGGTCTGGTCAAACAGCGTCGTGGTAGCAGGATTCTACGGTGAGGGGAAGGAGGGCGGCTACACCATCCATCCAACACTCAGCCGACTGACAGACGTGAAGGCACCGCACCGTGTGTGTGTGTGTGTGCAGGTGAGACGTACTCGACGATGTGGTGGGCAGCGGTGATAACGTCGACGGGCATCCCCGCCGTGTACGTGTGCTTCGGCGGCATGCGCACCTCGCTCTTCTCGGACGTCCTACAGGCACGATAGATAGACAGACAGACGCAGACGGACAGACAGACAGACAGACAGACACCCACACTCATGGCCCGGCCTTTGTGTGTGTTGTGTGTTGTGTGCAGGCCCTCCTTGCGATTATCTTCCTGGTTCTCATCCTGGTGTTCATCGGACAAGAGCCCAACTTCGACGGTATGGGAGAGACCAGACGTCCATTGTCCATCCCTCCAGCCATCACTCTGTGTGTGCCTGTGTGTGTGTGTGTGCCTGTGTGTGTGGCTGCAGGCATCAACAGCCTCTGGACGTTTGTTCCCGGCAGCGGCTGGATCGACGGATGGAGCACCCTGTTTGCCGCTGCGCTCATACAGGTACCTATGCCCCTTCCTTACACACACAGGCTGACTGACTGACTGACTGACGTGTGGGCGTCGGGCTGGCACCATGCGTGTGTGTGTCGTGTTGGCTTGTGCAGGGCGTGTGTTCCTACCCCTTCATGGACCCCGTGCTGACCGACCGCACTTTCCTCTCCACACCTAACACAATGTGTGTGCTCAGCACACACATGACTAACACACATCACATGTCGCAACATGGCCTGAGCTGTGCTGTGCTCTGCTGTGGGTGCTGTCGTGTCTTGTGTGTGTCAGGCTTGTGTCCTTCTTTGGGGGAGGGTTGGTGGCTGCCCTCTTCATCATCCTCTTCGCTGCCGTGGGCGTCTACGGCGCCTTCCTCACAGACGAAGCCTCCGCAGACGTACTGCACTGTGCACACCCACCCCCACCGCCCACCTCCCACCTGCACTCACAACAGCGATGGTCCCACCTTTCTCTCTCCCTCCCTCCCTCCCTCCCTGTCTGTCTGTCTGTCTGTCTGTCTGTGTGCTCCTTTCGTCAGTCTGGCGACCCAGCTACAGTGGCTTCCTCCCTCCCAGTGGTAGCGACAGCGATGGTCAACCTGGTGATGCTGACGTCGTCCATGTCGACCCTCGACTCAACCTTCACCTCCACAGCCAAGCTCTTCTCGCTAGAGTTCGGCGGCTGGCTGCCCATCCCCGGCGACAACAGAACCAAAAAGGGCCCCATCGCGCCACAGGACGTGGCCAACATCGGACCATGGCACATCGCTGTTGGCCGGCTGGCGATCATTGCCATCGCGGTGGGGGGCAGCTGCTTCCTCATGATTGAGACCACGGCTCTCAACGCAAGTAAGGACGTCGCGCCATCTCAGTCAGTGCATGCCTTATGGTGGATGGATGGATGGATGGATGTGTGTGTGGTGTGTGTGTGGTGTGTGCAGCGACTGTGTCTGGGACGATGGTGATGGGTTTGGGTCCGCCTGTGTGGGGGCTGCTGGTGTGGCGGTTCGCCGACCCCCACACAGAGGGAGGGTCCTCCTGGGGCTGGCGCAGGTCGCCTCTCGCCTTCTTGCTCTCCTTCGTCACGGGAGTGGCTTTCGGCACACTCTACCAGGTCAGCCAGCCAGCCAGGGAGCCAGGCAGTGTCTGCCGAAGATATGGCAAGATGCACGTGTGTGTATGTGTATGTGTGTTTGTGTTCGTGTGTGATGGTGCAGCTAAAGCTTTTGCCTGAGAGCTTCGAGATGGGGGTGGGGCCATACAGCGCACTCCTGGGAACAAACGTGGTGAGTTCACCTGCCCCCACACCCACACCACATCCCTCTCTCTCCCCCCAGACATCATCCCTTGTGTGTCTCTGTGTCTGTGTCTGTGTCTGTGTCTGTGTGTCACCCAGATCGGTCACGCCTGCTGCGCGGCTGCCTTTGTGCTGGGCCTGCTGATCCACCAGACGGTGTGGCGGCTGGAGGAGACCGTCAAGCCGCCCAAGTCGCTTAGACAGAAGGGCTCCACGACGGCCCTAGAGTTCTCGGACCTGCACAAGGACGATGGCAATGGCGCCAATGTTGCTCACATCGAGGCGGAGACGGCCGGCACCACGCCCAAGAAGGGCGATGCGGGTGGAGAGGACAGCGAGGTGTGACTGACGTGGTTGGTGTGGTGTGACTGGATGGATGGATGCGTTTATTCGGACAACGAACGATCGGTCGCTGTCTGGCTGTCGATTTTGGTTGGTGGGC